TAATAAAATTAAAAAAAAAAATAAAGATTATGAAACTTACATGGTTAAGAAGTGGAGACATTGCAACTGCATTGACTGGACGTTCAGTAACATATGTCTTGATCAATGTCAATGATCTGCTGTCCCAAAGCTAATTATTTATTTCAAAGAAAATAGGGGGATAAGAATGATATGATTTAATTTAATCAATAACTAACACTATGAAAAATGAAATCTTGTTATAGAATTAATTACCTTAGCTGACTTATCAAGGGATCCAGTGAGAAAATGTGAGCCATCAGTAGATTTTGCAAGTGAAGTAATTGTCTTTTTGTGACCAATATCCTTGTCATTTTCTTGCAGTAATTTTCCTGTCTGAAAATTTAAAAGAAAAAAAAAAGTTAACTGAGGAATAAGAGACATCAACTCCATTCATCTTCTTCATCAAGGTTGTATACACAAGTTGGAGGAAAACAATACCTCTGTATCCCAAATTCGAACCACAGCATCTTCACCAGCACTAATGATTGTCTTGTTCAGAGGTCCCCAAACAGCTCTATTGATCCTTCCTTGAGGACCCTTAAGGACGAGTACAGATTCACCAACCTCTGAAAAGTTGCACCAATTAGAGCGTCGTATTATTAAAATTGTCACCTTATGATACAAACCAATGCATTGTTTGGTTGAAAATAGATTAAAGCTGCTTTCTCTAGTTTACTGTATTTATTGATTAGAGAACTGGATATAAACCAGGCCAAATTAGTGAACTCACGGTCAGCAGGATCAGAAGCAATGCGTTTAACGTGGATAGCAGAAGTTAATCCCATAAAAGGGTCGGTGGTGATAACAGCAAGCTTATCACCAACGGAAAAATCAACAGCTCTAGCAGGGGAATCGAAATTGAATGTGAAAAGCTGTGTTCCGGTCTGAACATCCCAAAGTTTGGCTGATTGATCGGCACTCCCGGTAATCAATCGTGTTGAATCTCCTGCAGAACCAATTGTAAATCAGTTACCTTATTAACAAAAGAAAATTCCACAAAATCCAATCGCTAAGTTATAGATTTGACTACCAGAAAAGCCAATTACTAGTTAGTTCAAAACCCAAACCAGTTGCTAATTTGAAGAAATTAAACAAGACTTAAAGAGGGAGAGGAAGGAAGAAACTTACTCGAAACATCGCAGCACCATACGGCACCATTGTGACCACGATATGTGCCCAATCGTTCGCCGTTGTCTGCGAACCACACAGTAGGAGTGTGATCTTTGGCGCAAGAGAAGAGAAGGTCACCATCCCTGTTATACTTGAGAAAAGTGAGTGGCCTCTCGTGCCCTTTCATCAATATCGGCCTCATCTTTGCTTTCGTTTGCGGGAAATTCGATTGAACAAAAGTGGAGCTCTGAGATGTCGAGTTTTGGGAAAATTATTCCGATGTTAGAAACCCTAATAAATCAGAGGAAGATGAGTGCGGAGGTCGAGCCGTCGGGGGTTTTGGAAAGCTCAAATTGTAGGATAGCTGTAAGATTGGGCCGCTTTTGGGTCGGATCCGCTAAAGGGAGCCCTATTGATGGCTGTTGGGTTATTTGTTTTTTTTAATTATTTGGAAATCCTCATAAGTCATCAACTAAAGCAATAGAAACATTTAAAGGATAAGTCCATAACAATAGGCTTAGATATCATCATCTATAATAATATTTGTAAAAAAAATGTAATTTTACAAACTCCAAAGTGCCATTTGGAGCCCTAAGACCATCCGAAATACTGATGTGTTTGTCGTTTACTTGGCAACAACCACTAACCATAAACAACATTTTAGTGTTTAGTGGTTGCTAGTGATCGTGGTTATTTGTGGTGGGGAGCATAATCTACCACAACCAATTAGCTTCTTTCCCTCTCTATTTCTCTTTGCACATTAAGTAATTAATATATATATATATATATATATATATATATATATAAAAAAAAATAAGAGGGATATAATGATATGGAGTGGTGGATATACCATCCATTAGTGGCAATGATCTATCGGAATATAAAAATATTTATTATATGTATATATGAGTGACAAATTAAATAAATATTATGTAAGTAAGCATGAATACATGAGTAGTTTTAAATATATTTATTATGTGTAAACCACAAATTATAAAAATACTATTTAAATCCTAATACATTAGGATTCAATATTCTTTTTTTTAGTTTTACTTGTTTGATAATTAATATATACATATTAATGCATAAAGCCTTGAGAGACGGTATAATTTGTATGTTTTATGTTTTTGCCATAAAAGTATTGAAGATTGGCAAATTTGGTCCATATGCTTACAATCAACAACGATACGCCATAAAACCACCGCCTATGCTTCCGATCAACAACGATACACCCTAAAATTATATCTCCTTCGACCATCTACGAATCAAAAATTCGTCTCCAAACTTTTTCTTTACTTTGTAGAAGCAATGGATGATGCATGGTTGGATGTCCATGGCCCCGAGCATGCTTTCAGATCTTGATTCTTTGGTTTTAGGGAAACTGTTGAAGATGGTGTGTATTCCATCAACAAACCTTCTATTAGATCATATGAAATTGGAATTGACCAAACCTCAATTATAGAGACTTTACTAAATTAATAAGATGGTGTAGGAAGAAAGCAAAAAAGAGGAACTGAACTACTAAAGGACTGAGATTGGCGCCACCGGTCATAAAAGATAAAAGAAAAAAACCATGTTTTTATTTTCCCTATTAATTCATGTATGGATATTATGCTTGAATGGGTAATGATATCAACATGGATAAAGTGTGATACACAGAAATTATAATTTTTTTCCCTATTAAGTATTCTATGGATAAATTGACTTGACTGGGTAATTTATAATATCTGGAGGGATAATATGATATATATATATATATATATATATATATATATATATATATATATATATATATATATATATATATATATATATACACAAAGTCTGTTTTTTAACTGAATAATGATTGAACATCTAAATTCATGTTTTATTGATCCTGAAAAGTCAAATGTCTTTTGTGCCTAGCCCACACAGTCACCCCTTCACTCACTTTATTTCCTTCTTGATGTCATTATGTGACACGTCTTTTCAACTAAAGTTAAGACATAAGCAAACCGCCTCAAATCCATTAGTCATTGTTTGATATAAAGGAGCAACTTTTTAAAAACTTTTTTATTCTTGCACTTTCTACATTGACCCTTATTTTTAATAAGCAACAAATATGAGTAGTACGTATATAACAAATGTGACAAAAAGTCCAAAAGTTCATTTTGTTTATGGGTTTTTATGGGATGCAGCTGAGATAGCAGCAGCGGTAGCGATTTCTGTATTTGGAATTGAATTTGAAAGGACTCAAATTTCTGCAATTTTTGAGCATGCAAATAAGTTAGAGTTGCACATTGTTCATATTTAGTTGGTGTACATTGAGTTTGACAAACAAATTTTGTCGGGTAGGTTTTCATATGGCTTACTTGAATCATATTGCATACGACTTGTGCCCTTTTGTTTCAGTAAGAGAACATTTTGTACAATAATATGTATGACTTTGGTTTGTGGTTTTAATTGGTTTTGGCACTAAAAAATAAAGGTATTATATGTTATGGTTTGACAAACTATGGACATGACATCATCGGGTCTATCTTCGAAATCCACTTCTTCAATCAGGATTTCCACCTATCTCACTTACAAATGGCTTTTTTTCATGGGATTCAAAGGTTTTTTTTATTTTAATCTATGTTTTTAACACATTTTCTACTCTTTATGCTAATGTTTTTAATTTATGTTTGTACAAAACCCATATGTAGCAATTATTGATCCATGTGGTTCAAGCACAACATGAATCATTATAATTTCTCCTACACAAGCCCCGGTTGGATAACCATATAAAATGTTCTTAAAATTCTCAATTCGTAGATATCCTTTTCTGGTATATTCTTTCATGACTTTTTTTTTCATTTTCAAGATTTAAAATTTGTTTTTTAAGTTGATGGTATGTATTTCTCATATATAATGAAGGTACGTACCCTGTTTCTTGCTTGCTGAGATTGAATGGGTGCAGGATTTGTCTCCATCAGTAGGGATGGATGTTTGATGTTAATTATTTGGTAATTGTACTTAGCCACATAAACATATTAGGGATATCTACTTTCATTTCTTTTTACTACAATATTGTACTTTTACTTTTTTTCTTATTAAGGCAGTCTACTTTCATTTATCTTTTTAGGACATTATACTCTATTCAGTCTATCTATTTTTAGCAGTATCCAGTTGTTTTGTATTTGGATGACATTTATATTGATAAAAAAAGATAACATGGAAATAACATTGTACTCTATTTTGGCAACGAGTATTTTAAAAGGTTGAGATATTTTAAGTTAGTCGTCAAAACCCATTCAAACCTGTTTAGCATCTTTCCAAAGTAAACCTAAAAAAAAATCTTTGCTTTGGGAAGTTAGGACCGAGTGAAAAATCCAATTTTTTAAAGATTTGTTTATTATAATGTCATATTATATTATGTTTTAAATTTTTATTTAATTGACCATTATATTATATGTCAGTTTTTAATGATTTGTTTATTTTTATATTTTATATTTTCATTTAATTGACGATTTTATTCTATGTCAGTTTTTAACGATTTGTTTATTATAATGTCATGTTAATTTTTTTATAATATTATATGATAATTTAAAGTTTTTTTTATTTGATTATAACAATGATATCTAAATAGGAAACCATTTTACTATTAGACTTTTCTTCCATGGTAAAAGCTTTTGGTATTTACTTTAAACAAGAAATTTATAATCTAAAAGGGTAACTTTTAAAAGATTTTAGTTTTTCACTGCTTTTAACTTCTGCAACTTTTAGTTTTTGGTTTTGTGTAATTTTACATCTTTAAAAGCTAACAACTACTTTTGTCGAATACTTCTTTACAAATAAAAAACAACAACTACCAGCTATCAACTAATTTTGTCAAACAAACTTTGATCAACTTATCCATCCTTGCTACTTCCATGCATAGGCAACCTTGGAGTAGGGACAACCTCCAGTGGGATCTTCTTGTAAGCCACTATTCCTAACATCTCTACCATGTCAACTTCCTCTGCCCTAAACCCTTCTGGCAACGACCATTCGAATCGGTGCAAAAGACTCCCCAACATTAAGCTCACCATGTTCATCCCCAACTGTGCACCTGGGCACATCCTCCGACCCGACCCAAATGCCAGCAACCTAAAATCATGCCCTTTTATATCAACATCTTCTTCAAGAAACCTTTCAGGTCGAAAAACCAACGGTTGTTTCCACGCATACGGGTCATGACCGATTGCCCATACATTCACGTAAACCCTACTTCCTTTAGGAACACCATAACTTCCGATATTTAAGTCTGTTGTGGCTTGGTGGGGAAGCATTAGTGGCGTAGGAGGATGCAACCTTAGGGTTTCTTTAACCACACATGTTAGGTAAGGAAGGTTTGGTATATCGGATTCAGTCATAACTTCACCTATAACCCTATCTAGTTCCCCTTGAGCTTTTCGTTGAACTGTTGGGTTTATTAGCAACTCAGCCATAGCCCATTCCAGGGCGGCGACAATGGTGCCGATCCCTACAGTCACCATGTCCCACAACAGCCCACTAATTGTATTATCGCTAAGATTATATTCTTCACGTCGACTCAATAAAGCATCCAAGAAACTAAAATTATTCTGGTGGGTGCTACAGTTTTGGTTTTCTTTCTTATGTGTTATAACCGATTGAAAGAATCGGTGGTTTCGTGATTGAATCCATTTGTTTTCATCGTCTTTAAGCCAAGATAGCCACCGGAGCCACCATACTTCTTCCACGATGCCTAACGATATCTTGGCGCGAAACTGAGCCTCCATAATTGCTTTTAGCTCTAAATCCCCATTAGAAGACGCCAATGAGTTCCCAAATATCATACTTGCAATGATATCGAACATTGTTTTCTTCAAACAATTATTTACTACCAAAACTTTCCCACAATAATCTTCGTTAATGGAGTCGATCATAATTGAAACATCATTTTCCCTTGTGGGCCTATGTGCTTCGAGGTTCTTTAGAGAGAAGAGTTCTACACCACAAAGCTTTTTGAGCTTCACAAACCGGGGTCCATAGTCAACCCATGTGAGATCATCGCCATTTCTGCTAAATCTTGCAATCCCTATCGTTCTGTGTCTATTTGCAAGTTGTTGGTCATGGTTCTTGAGAACTTCTTTAGCTAAGTGTGGGTTTGACACAGAGATGCAGATTGAGGAACCAATTTGAAACGATGTGATGGGGCCATATATATGAGACCATTTGGCTAAAAGTCGAAAATCGTTAGGTCGTATCTGGTACATGTTGCCAACGATGGGCCATGGGCGTGGGCCTGGTGGGAGGTTTTGTCCGAGTCGTCTATGCAAACTGAAGATGATGATGATGAGGGTGATTGAGAGGAATAGAACCTCAATCACCATTGATGATGATGTGGAGGAAGCCAAGTGTGGGGAACAAAGTCATGAGTTTTAGGAGCAACTATAATATCATGTTCTTTAAGTGACATTTGTTTATAAATGGAACTGTATTCTCTTATTAATCAATGCAACTTCCATGCTCCTGAAAATATTACATTTGCAACACATTTGTTATAGCCCAACAAAATTATATTTTTTTATTATTTTAACAATTCCATCTTAATTTCAAGATTTCGCATCATCCAACCATACATAACAACAGCAACACATAACAATTCCATTGCAAACTAAAACAATTGTCACAGATGTAGCTAATATCAAACATTTAATTCATACAGATGCTACAGCTACATTACTAAAAGACTAAGTTTCGATCATCTAATAATGCTCCACAAGTAACAACATTATCATGATTACTAATAGATTTAGCGACGATCATGAAGTGGGTTATTTGCATCATAGCGGTTTGACATGGCATCCCGATTTGCCCCATGACTTCTTCTATGGTCATTATTGTTGTGATCCACATGTGAAGATCTATTTACATATGAAAATACATCTGCACTAGGGGAAACTGAAATTTCAACCAAAAACATATCATCAATATTCAATAACTAAGGCTGCATTTTTTTAAGACTATTTTTCAGTGATGAGGATCAGGGCATTCCCGTCTTTTGCACACAACTCCAACTTTTATGTCATGGCATCATGTGAGAGACTTTACCTTGTGTATATGGTGAAATGGGCCCAGGAGAAACATCAACATTTGGCCTTGATTTGAAAGGAGAATTTGATGTAGGCATTGGTGAGGTTTGCAGATTTGGATTTGGATTTTGTGCAGACTTGTCTTGCCCAGAAATCTGTTTTTATGGAGTTCATATATCAATATTTTAAACTGGTAAAAAAAATGAAATACTGTTTGCATAAATTGATAAAGAAGAGTGAAACAAATGAAATACTGTTGCATAAATTGATAAAGAAGTGTGAAAACAGTAACATATGCTATGAAAACTGAGTAGCTAAAGGGAAAAGATAATTACTCCAAATCTCAATGTTCTGTTGTAAAGAGTGACAAGACCAGAAAAAAGCTTGACAGCATAATCGGCAATCTCTTTGGTTTCATATTCTGCAAATGCAAAACCTTTTGGTCGATCAGTTTCCCTATCTCGAGGAATGTGTAAGTCAACCACCCTCCCAGCTTGGATAAGGATATCGTATAAAACCCTATCACTTACTCGTTCATCCAAGTTACCTGTGTATACACACACTCAAACATCAGTTATGGAAAGACGCATATAGCAAGTATACCACAAGATTCGTTTATATAGGATACACATAGAAATAATTCACTATTGTAGTATTAAACAAATTCATGAATTTTGGGCGCAAATTATCCCAAATCGTATTCCATATGCCTACCTTTCCTGTATACACGTTATAATGGATTATTGATTTAGGGGACCGAGAATTGAATCAATGGAGATAAAGCGGTATACGTTAATCCAATCAATATTCACTGGTAACATAGAACTCATATACATCTTGAATTTCAGCTAAAACCACAAAGGGAATCAATACTCAGATAGGATCGTCAACTAGCCCTAACAGTCTAACTCATTCATGGAAATTTAGATATTGGAACAACAAGAAGCAGACAAATTAGTAATAATAAAGGGTAAAATTGGTGTAGGTTTCGAAAATATACCGATGTACACTGTGCAATTAGGGTTGGCGGACATGACTCCCGTATGCAGAAGAGGAAAAAATTGTTGTAGAAGAAAGACGAGCGTGATTCTTGAGATTCAGGCCTACGGATGATGAGGAATTGAAAGATACCAATTTCAAATTCAGTCAATTGGCGACGGTAAAAACTCATTGAAATTTTGAAAAATGCTTTCACTCAGTTTGTACATTTTAATCTTTACTTTTATTTTATTTTTTTGCAAAATAAATTTTATTTTGTAAAATAAGTCCTTAAACTTGTTGTTTTTGTATAGATCCAGTCTTTATAATCGGTTACTCAGATTAAATCGTGAAAATGACTTAATAAGCCAATAAGGTAATATTGTTCTCAGTTTGTATACATTTAATATTAATGTTTTTTTTGTTACAGAACAAGTCCTAACTTATGATTGGTTTCTACATGTTTTGGCAATTTTGCTTACGTGACATCCTACGTTGGTCAATCATTAATAAAATGTTTTTATACATGGCTCGTTTCTCACTTATATCAGTAACCTAATTCACGAATCGATCAAATAATGTTGGTGTCCTAGTTTTCTCCAATAAGATGATGTCACTGGCTTCGGTTTCATCTATCTCCATACCAGACAACGAGATTCTTTGTGATTTCTTCCTACCAACTCGAATTTCCAAGACAAAAGAACACACTGACAAAAAGTTTAGAATCTTCCCTAATTCTTTGGTATGTCGATTTTGACAATTTTTTCTACAAATGTTTCTTATTCTTTTCAAATGAACTTGTTTTCTTACTTACTTCAAAAAAAAAATTTGTTACCGAAGAAACCATGTAAAGGTGCATGTAACGCCTACATTTCCCGCTAGACATTAATAAGATGATGTAATAGTAAGAGTCAACAATTATAATCTTTTAGTAAATAAAGAGAATTATTGAGTGTTTTGTATGTTTTATGTAGTTATATGTAATATATGTACTTATAATGATATAATAAAAATATGAATAAAACATACGTCTAAATAGAACAATAATTAGGATGAATATCCTTGATGAAAGATTAAGTAGTTGAGATGAGGATTTCAGAGATATAAAGAACGCTGAAATCCGACTTCGTATGAAGAAGTTATGCTTCTTCGAAGTTTCGCGATCAAACGGACACGGCTTTACGTATCGTAAAAAGTGAAATTTTGATAAATCACTTTTTAGCCTTAGTGATATAAACAAAAGTCGTAGTAGTTTTTAAACCGAGAGTGTGCATATAGAGAACGTTCAAATGTGACTTCGTGAGAGGAAATTATGATTTTTCGAAGTTAGCGCAGCAGTGCGGGCACATAAATCAAAGATCTCGTTAATATGAACCCGTCACTAAAAAGATAATCGAAAACGGAGTCCGTATGTAGGAGTTATACTTTCTGCAGCGATTTCTAACAACCTAAACCTATCAAAAATATAATTTTGAGTAATTACACGAATGGTTCCTATGGTTTGGGGTAATTTGCGTGTTTGGTCCCTAAATTATTTTTTTAACTCGGAAGGTCCCTACTGTTTGTTTCTATTACGCGCTTGGTCCCTACTGTTTGTTTTTGTTACGCGCTTGGTCTCTGTCTTACCTAAAAAGACTATTATTTAAATAGGAAAAATGGTGGGGTAGGTAAGGTAAGGTGAGGGGGTGAGGTTGGGGGTGTGTTTATTTAAATAAATTAAAAAATCAATGGCAAAATAGTCTTTTTAGGTAAGACAAGGACCAAACGCGTAACAAAAACAAACAGTAGGGACCTTCTGAGTTAAAAAAATAAGTTAGGGACTAAACACGCAAATTACTCTAAACCATAGGGACCATTCGTGTAATTTACTCTATAATTTTTTGATAAAGTAGGAATTATATATGGCTTCTTCGTGGGATATTATGTCCAAGAATGTTGGAATTGAGAAGGGGATTTGGATTTCTTTTGTCGTATAAGAGAGAGGGAGAGAGAGAGTGAGAGAGAGATTTTTGATTTCTGTAATAAAAAATTGAAAAAAATACAAAGGGCAAAATTGGTATTTAAAAAAAGTAAAAAATAATTGAATCAAACTTGCAACAAAATAAAAACTTTGGAACTATGATATTAGTCAAAAAAAAATTTGGACCAAAATGACACTTTTAGACATAGGAATAAAAATATATATTTTGTGTAATTTGGTCCAATTTATTTATATATTTATTTTTAGGGTAATTTACACCAATCGTCCCTCGTGTACATGCCAGAAAGCGTGTTTAGTCTCTATTTTTAAAAATTAACTCGGACCGTCCCTCGTTTGCATAAAACTTGCACTTTTCGTCCCTGATATACATTTTTGTTGCGCATCTAGTCCTTGACAGGTCTAAAATGACCATAATACCCTTTGTCTATTTCTTTTCCAATTAATTTAATGTTATTGTTATCTTTTTTAATTAAAAAAAATATGGCCTCTCCTTTTTAAAACTCTCTCTCTCTCTCTCTCTCTCTCTCTCTCTCTCTCTCTACATAACATCACCAGAATATTCACCACCACTCCTCCTCCTTCACTTACCCAACCCATCTACACACTTTAGTGTGTTGCTGGTGCTCATCGTCGGGTGGTCGTCTTCTCCGGCAATAATTTTAGTTTCGCTTTCAAAATCTAAGCTATAACTTAAGCTACACAAAACTGTAAAGATCCCATATGGTTTTCTGGTGCCGAGATTTGGCGGATATCGCCGCCGTCGCTGCCTAGGGTTTCACTTCTAATGCTCGATGAACCTTCTTGCTCTGATCCAACCTCCATCGCCATCACAGGTAGAGGATCTCGAGGAGAGGAGAAAGAATCTCGCCTCAAATCTTACATACGTCTGCCAAGAGATGGAGAACGAAAAAGTAATTCAAGACGTCGCTATCAATGCGTCGATTTCTTCATCTCCATCACCGGTTTCTTTTGCTTGGATTTTGATATCAAAGAGTTCTTCGGATAATTCTAATAGCTACTTTAAAGAACCGCCATAATTTGTTCTGGTTGCTGCTTCGTCGCCTCAAGTCTTTTGTTCATACCTAAAATCTCCTCTTCTTGTGGTTTCTGCTCCTGTTTTAACCCCTCAAACTCCATTGTCATCTCTGAAAATCAAGCTACAGATATGGTTTAAAACAGGTTTCAGAAGGGAAGTTTGTGAAGAAGAGCTATGGTAGTGATGGCATCGACTAGTAGCAGTGTTAGTGTTGACCGGTGGTGATGTTCTTTACCGATGTTAGTGGTAGGATCGATATAGAGGAAGAAGTGGTGAGAAGGAGGGAGACGAGCTGGGGAAGGGAAGGGGAAGGATAGGTTGGGGGTGTAGATATTTATTTTATTTTTCTTTTTTTTTTTCAATCTAAAAATGATAAATAAACAAAATAAAATTGAAAAAGAAATTTTTAAGGGCAAAATAGTCATTTTATGTCAATAGGGACTTAGCATGCAAGAAAAAACAAAACCAATGACCGTCCGAGTTAATTTTAGAAAATAGAGACTAAACATGCATTTTGTCATATGCACGAGGGACCAATGGTGTAATTTACCCTTATTTTTAAAATATATTTTTTACCTTTGGTATTTTCTTTTTTCAATTTTTTTGGACGGACCATTTGTGGAGTTTTGTCTTCATTTGTAGATGGATTTATTGTGATGTACGTAATAAAAAAATATCTATTTTATTTTGATTGTCTATCTGTACTGCCGCCATTGCCCGTCACCTACTGCCGGTACCTGTCCCCTCGTGAGCCCTAATTTGCTCAGGTGACTCTGCGACCCCTGAGTTTCTGTTCTATTCGATTCCGAGTTACTCAAAGGTGACGTTGAATTTGGTAATACCATATTACAATACAGAATTTCGCGTAGATTCAGTCAATGGCTCACAATCAGGTTGAGCATCTTGCTCAGCGGAAACATTTTGCTACGTGTTGGTCCATGGAAGCTGTGAATCTTGCATTAGAGGTTTGTCTTTCTCCCTAACGTTCTCTTCCATGGTTATCCACATAATGGTTGGATCTGTAATAAACGTTTTAAGCCTTATCAATATTTCTATTTGCAGAAAGGCGATGTGTTCAAAGCAATGTTTCGAGTGAATGCACATAATCGGGTTGAGGTATTTTGAACTCTCTTCTTTCATTTCTTTTTGTTGTTTATTCAGATTTCAGCAGCTGCGATATGTTAACTATAACATTAATGATCTGTGTTCATTGCCTAGGCCTATTGCAAAATTGATGGATTGCCAGTTGATGTTCTTATTAGTGGATTCTATAGCCAAAATAGAGCTGTAAGTTCTGTCTGTTCTTTCAAATTCTTATTCCTATGATATAATCAATGAGAATGGATATCTTCCTTATTGAATTGATATATTTTATATATGATGTTATGAAGGATTTTGTTTCTAGTGTCTCAAACATTCTAATGAGATTATGACAACAATGAGTAGCTGATATCTCAGTAACAATTTTCACATTGGAATTGATAGTTTATCTGATCATTTCTTACCTTCAGGTAGAAGGTGACATTGTTGCAATCAAAGTAGACCCTTTTTCATTATGGACAAAGATGAAAGGGTCAGTAGAAGCTTCCCCAGAGAAGCAGCTTTTACATAGCACAAATGATACTTTCAATGGCCAAGACCTAATTAGACCTGCAAACTTTGAGCTGGATCACACAACAGCTTCTTCACCTAATGAAGGAAGAGAAGTTGTAAGTTTAGTGGAAAAACTGTGCACTTTAATCACTTCATTCCCATCAAAAAGGCCAACAGGTAGAGTTGTAGCAATCATTGAAACATCTCCACGTAGGAACTCCATTGTTGGTTTCCTTAGAATTAAAAACTGGTTATCCAAGAAGACTAAGCTTCCATCATCATCTTCAAAACATGAACACATCCAACTCATACCCACCGATCCAAAATTTCCCAAAATGATTGTTCCTGTAAAAAACTTACCTAACACCATCACAAAAAGATTAGATGACTGTGACTTAACCCTAGAAACTGACCTCATTGCTGCACAAATTGTGGAATGGAGTGAAGAGTATGACAGTCCATTTGCTCATGTTCTTCATGTTTTTGGAAGAGGTGGAGAGGTGGAATCACAGATTGGTGCCATTTTATTCCAAAACTCAATTAATTCTTCCGACTTTACCCCTGAAGTAATGTCATGTATACCTCATCTTTCTTGGAGAATACCTGAAGACGAATTAAAACATAGAAGAGATTTAAGAAACTTATGCACGTTTACCATAGACCCTGCAACCGCTTCTGATCTTGATGATGCCCTTTCGGTTGAAAAGCTACCAAATGGTGTTTACAGGGTCGGTGTTCACATTGCTGACGTGTCATATTTTGTCCCCCCTCATACCCCTTTGGATCTAGAAGCCCAAATCCGATCCACAAGTGTGTATTTACAGAAGAAAAAGTTACCAATGCTTCCACCAATTCTTTCAGATAATCTAAGTTCACTTTCTCCTGGAGTTGAAAGACTTGCTTTTTCCATCATCTGGGATATAAATCTTGATGGGGTGGTTCTAGACCGTTGGATCGGTCGGACTGTTATAAAATCTTGTTGTAAACTCTCATACGAACAAGCTCAAGACATTCTTGATGGGATTTCAAATCTTTATTATCCTCCTCTAGTGATTACATCTGTCAACAATCTTTATGAAATATCCAAAGTCTTGAAAGAAAAAAGGTTTAAAGATGGCGCATTGTCTCTCGAAAGTCCAAAAATCATGTTCTTGTTTGATAAAAACGGGATCCCGTATGATTGTGTTCTTTCCGGAAGGTCAAAGTCAAACTTTCTAGTAGAGGAGTTTATGCTTTTGGCTAATACTACAGCTGCTGATGTCATCACACGCGCATACCCTTCTAATGCTTTGTTACGGAAACATCCGGAACCAAAGCTATCAAAACTTAAAGATCTTGAAACTTTTTGCTCCAAACACGGTTTACATTTAAACACTTCTACTTCGGGTCAACTTCATCAATCTTTGGAAAACATAAGACACGAACTGAAGGACGATTCCGTCCTTTTCCATGTACTTATGTCGTATGCTACACGCCCAATGCAGTTAGCCACGTATTTCTGTAGTGGTGATTTGACAGATGGTGGTGAAGATTGGGGGCATTACGCGTTAGCGGTCCCACTTTATACTCATTTTACTTCTCCTTTAAGACGGTATCCTGATATTATTGTACACCGGATATTAGCTGCAACAATTGAAGCTGAAGAAATGTTGAAGAAAAATGGAGGGAAATTGTTTGAAAGATGCTTTACAAGGTTGGTGTTTGAGAAAGTGGAAAGTTTTCATGTTCAAAAGGCGTTGGTGGATGCGGGAATGAAATACGCGGTTCCTGGGACCCAGTTGCTTGCTGACGTGGCGACTCATTGTAATGAAAGAAAACTGGCGAGTAGGTATGTGAAGGATGCTACTGATAGGCTTTACATGTGGCTTTTACTGAGGAATAAAGATGTAAGATTCTTGATTTCTAAGCTTGTAATTGTATATTTGTGAACTCATATAAATGTGTAATTGTGTATTTTAACAATATTATAATGTTGGAATCACAGGTTTTCCTTTCAGAAGCTAGAGTATTGGGATTGGGACCAAAATTCATGTCGATATATGTGACTAAGCTGGCTGTAAGTTATTTTATCTGTGTAAAAAGACTTGAATGCCCTCCAATATAACAAATAATTTGCATTGTAATTGTATATTTGTTGATGGTTTTAGATGGAGCGGAGAATATACTATGATGAGGTGGAGGGTCTAAGCGCGGAATGGCTTGATGCCACATCAACATTGGTCCTGAATTATTATCCAAATAACCGCTCGCATAATAAAAAAGGAAGCAGTAATAAATTCAAGACAATTGAAGAAGTGGCAATGGTTTCCATTCCATACAACATGGAAATGGAAATGGAATCAGAAGAAGAAGTAGATGCAGCATTTGGAGAGATGGGAATCTCGGATTCCGTGGTTGTTCCGGATTCCGACATCAAGCCGGCTTTCTTTCCGCTTGTGTTGCATATCCTTTCAACGATTCCGGTTGCACTTCACCCGATTGGTGGAGACGATGGGCCAATTGATATAGGGGCAAGACTGTACATGAGCTCTTATTTTAGTTAGGTTTTCTATTAATCTGAAATTTTAAAACTGCTTGTTGTTGAATGTTGACTGGCACACACATACTGTTTATTAGAAAAAGAGTAAAAGATGGAAGGAAAAGGGAGTGAGAATAAGATGTAGATAAGAAGGAAGGAGGTTTCTGATATTGTTTGCTTGTTTTTAAACAGAAGCAGACAATGGTGAGTGGTTTCCTTGGTCTTGGTGCCCAGAATTTTTAAGTTTGGGTATCCTCATTCATCCATGTGATTTGGTGCTTTGTTTCTTAGGATTTAAATGTAACCATTACAATTTACAAATGATATCAACTTTTTGTCTTACAGTTTTTTGTTGATGATTTTACTTTTATCAATATCTTACAAGTAGTGAACTAACTGAGTGGGAGGATCATCACTATGTTAAAATACAAGTGCTTATACAAGTTAGGGATGTCAATTGAACTTATATGTTTTTGGAATGCCTGGATTCTTAAATCTTACAAAATGAAAATCGATCCAAACAAAATCTTAATTTAATTGATTCAGATTGGATTAGATTTTACTTAGTTCAGAGTTGAGACTATTCTATTAGGATTTAGTATCCATATTTTGAAAATCAAAATCAATCAATCCATTCAAACCAAAATCAATCAATCCATTCAAACCAAAACCGCTACACACACATATTCAAGAGTAAACAGAAAATAAGTGTTTTCAGATTCTTGTGTGGATGATAAAAATGGTGGGAGTAGGTTTGTATCCCTTCAACTTCAACATAATCATATAACAATAGAAGAAGAAAAGTACAAGATATTGCATTTGCCAATTTCAAAAAAAAAAAAATCACTCAACTATCTCCAGGCTTATAAATTCGCTGTTTGTGGTTGTTCTGTAGAAGAAACTCCATCCGAAGAAGACTTGGGTCGACCCGACCCAGACCCAGGCCCAGGCCCAGCCGAAACCTTAACCATAGCAGGTCTAAGCAATCTTTCCCCAAGAACAAACCCTCTCCTAAATTCCTCTATAACAACACCTTCATTATATTCCTTTGACTCCTCACGTGCAATCGCCTCATGAACCTAACACACCACAACACAATCATTAATTACATATTATCTGTCTTTTCAGCTATATATAAAAAAAAAAAAAAAAAAAAAGCAAAGCTTACAGAAGGATCGAATGGTTTTCCAATTGTGGGGACCACAGCAACACGTAAGCTTCTCATAATTTCCACAAACTGTTTATAAATCCCTTGATAACTCGCATCAATTTTTTTCTCCTGTTCAGTTTCCAACTTCAATTGTTGTTTTGCTCTTTCAAAATTATCAACCATCGGCAAAAGGCTCTCAATCACTTCCCCTTGAGCATTGCTCCTTACGTTAAGTCTCTCATTCTCTGATCTTTTTCTAAAATTATCAAAATCTGCTTGCAACCGTATGTATCTTTCTTTCCCTGAACTTGCCTCTGCTAACAAAGATGTCACTTTCTCCAATAATTTGTTTTTCTCTTTTTCTAAATCATATAATGCAGCTTCGATATCAGATGAAGTTGTGTCATCTTTACTGAGGATGGATTGTTTGTAGAGTTGAAGGAGTGACTTTATGGTCAATGTGTCTGAATCGGTTTCGGTTTCTTCAAGATCATCTGACTCAGTCTCGTCCTCATTTGTCTAAAAAAAAAAGACCAAGTTGAAAGTGTCACAAGGTTTTTTATGATAATGTGTTAATAAGTATATAGATAAGTAATGCATGTGTGTGTTATGAATGGAGTAGTGACTAAATATGATTTGTAAGTGTTAAAGAGAAGGTTTACATTTTAACAAACAAAAAAATGTTGTATGATTGATGAATATTGAGATGTTACTTTGACGATATGTAGGATTGAATGGAGACATATAGAGCACAATACGAAGATGATCATCTGAAAAATCGTTAAAAGCCACTAAGGATTATACCACTTTGATAGCGCATCATAGAACATTTACTAAATTCAATAAATCTTAACAACTACATAGGTTAAATTCAAACGAAATCAGTTCAGAGGACAAATTAACTGTAGAATTGAAGTACATAAGTATATGTATAACATCTGAGAGTGAGAATGAAGAAGGTACCTGAACAGTAGTGTCTTTGGCTGTACATAGAGATTTAAAGGAACGCCAATTTTTACCCGGACATGAGTTGGGAAGAGATCGAGAAAGCCCTAAAAGGGGTTTACAAGAATGACGACTATGAAGGTGTTGGTAGGATTGAAAAGCGAGATTCTGTGTTCTAAATTGTGGGGATTTGAGAATAGATACGTCAACAAGGCGGGGAGCGCAGAGAGAGTATTGATTGGAAAGAGGAAGAGCCGCCATGGGAGATAAAGAAGCTCACGCCGACTCTATAAAGTTGGGGCTTTTCCCCTTTGATGATTTAATCCTCGACCTTGTTTGACAAGAAGTTGTATTCTTTCGGGTTTCAACAGATAGGGCAAGAGCGAAGAGTTCTGGTCTTTATAAGCGACCAACCGTCTTGAACCAGAGGTCGAGGGTCTCCAAGAATCTAGAGTTTACCTTTTGTCTCAACTCTCACTCCTCTATAAATTAGGTATAAAGAGAGGTCCTTAGGTATTAACCTAATAATCTTGGTTTTTAACTTTTAGGAGGGCAAGCTTAATCGATATTGAAATTGAAACTCAGAATTTGATCATTAGTTTACGTCTTAAAACCAACCAGCTACAACTAGTTGCAACCTCAGGAAAAGGGCTAAGCAAACATATCGAAGAAGCACGACTACGTCCTAAAACCAACACACTACAACAAGTTGTTGATGGGTTTTTAGGGTTACAAGCTCAATGCCATGAGTGGAAAAATAATCAAAAACAATTTCAATTAATTAGGACACATGTAACCTAAAAGGATCTATGTCTTTCACATATAACAACATATTATGAATGGTTATCCTACAAAACTTTTCAATGAAGAAACTATTCATAAGATAAGAAAACTAACCTTAAAGATTGTTATAGCAAACAATCTTGAATTCATCCTTGAAAGACTCTTGAAAGCAAGCGCCACAAGTGCCGCGCCTCTAATGGTTCATACCCAAATCTAGCAATTAAGGAGCTTGAAGAGAAAGAAGATGAGAAGAAGAATTTCGGTCCTAAGCCTCTAAGAAGAGTCATGAACGAAATTCTTAACCCTTAGGGGTTTATATAGGATTCTAGGAAGGTGGTGGATAAGGCAGATATCTCAAAGATAACCCTAATCCCTTAGCTTTCTCCCTAAGGCATCCAATGCACCCTTACAGCCCAAGGAAACCCTAAAATGCTTCTAGATTTCGTTCCACCCCCCCCCCCTCCCTTATGGGAGGTTATAGAATTCCTCAATGCTCAACTATTGAACATTGTCACATTTAGTCCTCCTAATTTTAATTAATCCCAAAATTAATTCAAATTAATTTCTGATTAATTATTAATTAAATAATATTATTTCTAATTAATATATTATTTTCATAATACATTAACAAATCATTTATTTTTATTTCCAATTAATTTATTAACCATATAATAAATTAATAAATCATTCTCTCTCTCTCTCTAAAAGCTATCATATTCAATTTCTAGGTTTGAGGGCAACCTAAAAGGATTGTGCTACTATCAATTCAAGTTTATACAAATTATAGTTATGTACTTAGACACCTAATCCAACAGTTGCAACTTCAGGAAAAGGGCTAAGCAAACATATCGAAGAAGCACGATGCTTTTATCTATGTATGCCTAACCTTTTACTGATCATTTGGAGGGAGACATATAAGGTGGATAGTTTATTGGAGTGAATTCCTCCTAAGGACTAACGGAGGTGTGTTTGTAAGTTAAACAATATAGGTCTATTTAACTGTTTGAACGATCGGTCGAACATACAAAAAGCTCGTTCATAGTGATATGAAATTGTTATGTGGAAGGGGTCTTGATTAACATGTAAAAAATATGACGATGATAATAAATTGATGACTCCTAGTAATCAAGTGTTTGGAATATGTATCGATCTTAAGAGAGAGAGAGAGAGATAGAGAGAGAGAGATATAGATAGATAGATAGATAAATAGAGAGAGAAAAATGAATGGAAAAGAAGACTAGGTTGTTTAAGCCTTCAAGTGAGAGATTGTTAGGGTGTGAAGTCTTGATCAAAGTGTAATCCTGATGATCTTAGGAAGAAAAGGTGCTTCTAGTGAGATAATGTAAGTCCAAAGTGTTCGTGCATGTGAAGGACACACTCTAAGAATCCAGATGCAACACCTTGGAAGCATGGTGTGCCCCCTGAAGCATATTGTGCCTTCTTGGAATCAAGATGCACCCCTTGGAGCATGATATGCCACCTCATAAGCAATGTGCACCGCCTAGGAAGCAAGGTGTGCCCCATTGGAGCATGATGCACCATCTTGGAATCAATATGCACCCCTTAGAGCATGATGTGCTCTTATGTGCATGGAAGGTGGCCATGCACATCCCTCAAGGCTAAAGGTTCTAAAAGTAGCTGAATGGAATCCCATGATTGGTTAAAGAATAGGGCAGCCCCTTCATTGGCTAATTATGTATGAGCCTGACGCATCATAATTAAGGTTTCTTATGCTTTCTTATAAATAGGAACATACCGCTTTCATATTCGTTATGCATAAAGATCAAGAGAACAATAATTTTGAGGTTGATAGCACATCCTTTAGAGCACTTAGTCAGAACATCCTTTGGAGGTTTAATACCCCCCCCCCCCTCTCGTTCGCCCATGGACATATGTCACTTTGACCAAACCATATTACATACTGAGTTCAATGTTTTTATTTCAATTTTTAGAAGTTTTATTCCGTAAGTTTTACCGAAGTTTGTTTATCGTTTGTACAGCTGTTTTGTTGATTTTCCAACATTTATGTATGAAGTTTTGTTCAAAGAGAATGAACTATAGAAGCAACAGAGTAATTAACTTCGCCCGACTAAATCAAATGTAAATAGGGTTTTGGAACACCATAACTCTCATGGTTTCCTTTTGTTCGGGCTTTCAGAAGAAGAAGATGATGAATTTGTCAAAAATGGGTTTTTAGGAAGCAAAACCTTTGAAGAACATATATGTGGAGATCGTTGAGGAAGTGTAGTTTGAACCTCAGACAACAATGGTTGTTTTATCAGGT